GCAATATTAGAAATCTTTTTTCGAAATTTTACGATTTTGACTGAATAACTTACCAAGCACAGCAGAAAAGCCATACCTGTTAGAAGGTATTGACCCACTAGTTCCCTTTAAATAAAATTATATATCAATATTCTTTATCAAAGATGATGATAATGTCATATTTAACTTACCCTTGAAATCCATTTATCACTAGTAGTATTATATAAGAAGACCTAAAGAAATGGGCCTGTTACAATCAATTAATTATTTTTGGAAAAATAAAAATATACATATTAGAAAATAATATACCTGACTCAACGATGAAGATTTCGGACCTCGTCTACCGCCTAGTTCCACATATAATTTGTGAATAGCGTAAAATAATTGTTTCCTTTCTTTTTTTTTCTGAATAATTTCTGTTCAAAACAATTTTTTTTAATTAATTACTTACCTAGATACATAATATTTTTATCAAGTAAAAGAACTGCTCCATAATCCATTCTTGGATCAGGCCCATTTATTGAGCTTGCAATCCCCCATTGTAATGTTTGTAAATTTAAATAGAGCATTTCATTGACAGTTCTTTCCTTTTTCGAAAATCCACCAAATAAGTACATTATGCTATCACAATTAATTGCAGTTATTCCCGACCTATGCGGATAACTTTCATTAAGTTCATTCCATCTATTATCTATCGTATCATAATTATAAATCAAGGACATCCGTTCACTCTTGAAATGACTTCCCCCATATAAAATTAATGTCTTATCATCAACACCTTTCACGGTGGTGGCTCCGGAATGTGCCGGAACAATATTATCGTTTGTCATGTCATTCCATGATAACTCTTGAGTTGTTTTGAATTTAGTAGAGAAATCCAGACTAAAAAACCCTTTACCAACAAATTTCTTATCTTCTTCTGCAAAGATCACATTTCCACCTAAAATGTATAGTTTATTATTGATAAATGTCGCTGTATGATGTTTTCTTTGCAAGGGCAAAGTTTTATTTTGACAGTTTACTTGAATAATTAAAATCCATAATACAACATATATCGAATTCATGCTCGCCTTTGACGCTGTTTATTAAATCAATTAATAAATTGCGGTAAAGATTGCTTTTTAGTTTTTAAAATAAAAATAAAAATAAAAAAAAAAGAAAGTAAAATAAATAATAAAATAAAATAAAAAGGAGAAACATTGAAATAAAAAACGTTTCGGTTAAATTCTGTGGAAATTTCCAAGAATGCATTACATGCCAAGCCAAGCATAGCATTTAGTCCCTGCATTACAAAATTTTGACGATCGATCTAATTTTGGAAGTAATTACCGATGAAAAATAATTTAAATTGAATGCTCAAGAACTTTACTTTTTTTTTTTTTTTTAGCAAATTTAAGCATCTATTGAATATATAACAAAAAAAAATGGCTCTCGAATATATCGATCAAAAGATTAAAAATGGTGATATTACTTTTTTTGAATACGAGGAATTCAGTAAAGTGGAGAAAGTTTGTAAAGGAGGATTTGGAATTATAAAAAGTGCTGATTGGGAGAATCGTGGGATTAAAGTAGCGTTAAAAACTCTGAAAAATAAACCTTCGATCAATGAGGATAGTATGAACAGATTTCTTAAAGAGGTAAAGTCATTTATTTCATAATGTGTGTGATCAAGCGCTTTGAAATTAAATTTTCTTAATGTTTACGCTTTATATTTAGTTAAAAAACTTGAGAAAAGTTAGTTCACATCCCAATATCAACAGATTTTTCGGAATTACAAAAGGTTGACATTTTTTTTTTTCAGAGTTTAATTTATCGTTATTATGCTTAACATCTAATCGATTGATAATAGATCCAATAAATGATTATGCAATTGTTTTGCAATATGCTCATCAAGGGAACTTGAGAGAATATTTAGAAAAAAACAAAAATAAGTTTCAATGGAATTTTAAATTTCAGATGGCTTTAGATATTGTTTGCGGATTAAAGTATTTGCACGCAGAAAACATTATTCATAAAGATTTGGTAACTATTTTTTACATTTTACTTGAATTATGTATACAACATTATTTTCAAAATTTAACGTTTATGATTTAAAGCATTCAAAGAATATATTAGTCAATGATAATCGATTAATTATCGCAGATTTTGGATTATCTAGACAAATATCAGAAACTGAATCATCTGTTTCCGTATGTGGATTGTCCGCATACATCGATCCGCAAAGTTTTAAAATTGATTACTATAGAAGAGATAAAAGGTCAGATATTTATAGTTTAGGTGTTTTGTTATGGGAGATTTCGAGCGGACATCCTCCTTTCCAGGGAATACAAGAAGGTACAATAATATACCAAATTATTTCTAATGGCCTTAGAGAAGAACCAATCAAACATACCCCACCGAAATATCGGCAACTTTATCAAGAATGCTGGGATGAAGATCCTAACTTAAGACCTAATATCAATGAAGTTTACAGCATATTAAAGCAATTAGAATTACAATGCGATGGTGGTGAATTAAGCGATGAAATATTCGATGCATTACATGAAATTATTCATGCATATTTAAATAATAATAAGGTTGGGTTAAATAATCTTCTTAAAGAGGCTTTAGATAAACATGAATCAAAATCACGAGAAATTTTTAAATTTCTCATGGATGATCCAACGATAAAACATTACGAGTTAATAATTGGAGTGTTTTATGGAAAAGGTTTCGGAGTATGTCAGGATGATGAGGAAAGCTACAAGTGGATCGCAAAAGCAAGTAAGAAAAATGATATCGATGGAGATTGTGAACTTGGGAGTTGTTATTACAGGGGATATGGCATTGAGAAAAATCTTGAAAAAGCAGTATCATATTATCAACATGCAAGTAATGGAGGATTGAACGTAGCTCTATACAACCTTGCAATTTGTTATGCAAATGGTTACGGCGTACGTAAAAATTTGTCGGAGGCATTTAAATTATATAAAAGATCTGCTGAGAATGGGTATATACTCTCTCAAGTAATTGTAGCAAACCATTATAACCTGGGCAAGATCGTTCGAAAAAACAAAAGTGAAGCATTAAAATGGTATAAGTCATATCAAATGAATAACGGTGTTATTAATGTATCAAGACACATTGAAATTATAGAAAAATCTTTGGTAAAGATATTTTTTTTTTTTTTTTTTTTTTATCAAGTATTTGCAATGAGTGAATATTAACGATTCAGCTTAATTAATAGATCAAGGAAGGAATTCATAATAAATTAAAAAGAAATATAAGCCGCCGTTTAAAATTTCGTCGGTTTCAGAAATTTGATATTAAAAATCCTCATGTATTTATTTATTGAATTTATTTTAAAAATGACTCGCTTAGCTTTAGAAAAATCTGTACCTTTTTTTTTGCATTTTTTCAACTAAATAAAATAGAAAAAAATTAATTTGTATCTGGTAAGAGATATGATGCTAAATATTTTACATAATCGTTAATTTATACGTACATGTACTGTAAAAATAAATACATTTAAATCGTAATATTAAATGAGAAAATTTGAAAAAGAGTAAAAATCTAAATTTGATTTATTAATAATTCAAAAACTTGGGTATGGCTATATAAATAAACGTTATATTTTTTTCTTATCTTTCTAAAAAATTATAGATCAAATATTAAGTCCGTTGTGATCAAAATTATCTAATTAAAAAGAAAAATTCATTATATAGTCTTATTTTTATTAGTTTAAAATATTTTAATTAAAATATTATTTATTAGACGTTATCACAAAAATTATTGCTCTTGATTTAAAAAAAAAGTTCAGATTCTGATAAGTTGCCTTTGATTTTCATAATACGAAATAATCAGTTTTTGGCATAGAAGATAATGCTTGAAAAAGAAAAATGTGTTTCTGGATTAACATCACTCAATTGTCATTGTTTATATTTCTATAGACATTTGTTGCATGTAAACACATTTTTCATGAAATAAGTATGGTAGGTAGTTTGATATTATTGACCGGCGAAATCTATGTAAGATTTCAAAGAATGTGAGGAAAATAGATTAAAATATATTTAACATTATTGAATTATTAATGATTAGAACAGTGAAAATAGGAATCTGAAACTTACTGATGAGTTGCATTTCAAACTTTTGAAAGTTTTTAAAATAATTTCAAACGAATATCGAAGTGATTTCGGATATCGAATATCAAAAATCATTATAAAAAAAAATGATTACGAAAAAAAAAAAGAAATTTAAATTAAAAAAAAAAAAAAAAATATTACATTTAAAAAAAAAAAAGGAAATTAGAAGAGGTAGGACATGAAAGTGGCATTTGGATATCATATTAGGCCGTGCAACTTCGATTTTTCGGTTCACGTCACCCGGCCGGGGCACTTTTTCAAACTTTAACAAAAAAAAGTTTATATATAAAAAGTTTATCATGTGATTATAAAGTTTATAAACTGTACTTTTATTTATAATTCCTTCCTTACAACTTATTAGTTTCATGCAGCTTCCCAAGCAATACATTGTGCTGAAATTTTTTCTCCAACTAAACTTCACTTCAAAATCTGCTTCAGGTGCTAAATATAGAATCGATATATTTCCAAAAAATTCTTTTATTTTTGTTTCTTTCTCAACAGGTAAACTTTCCCAATCCTTCAAAACTTTAGAATTATCACTTATTTTACATGTATAATAGGCATTTTGACGGAGTTAAGATGATTTTGAAATTAAATGTGATTGTCGTATGATTAGGCCGGGCAAAGAAAATTTTTAAATTTTAGATAAAATTTTAAAATCGAATCGGGTCACCCGGTTTTTCTTTCTTCTCATATGTAAGTTTTTTCTATATCACACAATAAATCTTATATTACACAAATACACAAATGAAGATAAATTTATGTAAATCTTTTTTTCGCCGCTTTCTTTTTAAACAAAATCATGATATGCCGATTTTATTATGTAAGATCAAATGATAAAAATTTTAATATAAAAAAAAAAATCTTGAATTTTCGTAAACTGACACGGCCGAGTCACAAAATCTGAAAATTTACTTTGTACGGCCTTGTCCCCTTAAAGATTTAATAAACTCCGGGTCTCCGGGTCGATTTTAAAATTTCAATGTTACGTGTATTAATTATGTATTTCGAATTCTTGAATTTTATTTATTTACAAACAAATATTCGAATATACTATTTCCAAACGGAAACCGAGAGGATTAATGATGAATATTGGTGGGTTGAAGAAAAGGTAATATTGAAAGAACAAAAGCATATGCTAGAAACATCTTTAAATAATAAAGCATTAATAACTATAAAAAAAAAAAAGAAGATCAAAGGTGCCTTCGTAGGTTTATTATTTAATTTCATAAAGTTATTTAATGATATGATTATCATCGTACGTCTTACTTTCATATGTTACTACTCGACCCCAAATGGGAAAGGTTAGAAACATTATGTAATGTCAAAGTTATTGTTTTATTTTCTCAAGATAAAAACTAGAATAATCAACTGTATAGCGTATCGTTTCAGAAAACGTAGCAACGTACCGCTTCAAATAAACTTCCATTAGTCGTGTAATAAATAATTAGGAAAATGTAATAAATATTTATATAAACACAAATTTAAACTCATATAGCTCATTTACTTTTAATGGACGATAATAGTTCTTTAATAGTCATTTCTACAGAATTAAACTTTGCAGCTACATCTTCTTTCATCTTTTTCATTTCATCATGTATTTTTAATAAATTTTCATCAAGCTTTTCCATCGTAATACCATCATCAGAATCATTTTTCATTTGATAATTGACTACTAACAAATGATAATGTTTTATGAGATTTCCTATATTTTTCAGCTTTATCCAGCCATTGAGCTTGATATTCAGGAGTTCCAACATAGTAAATATATCTCGGATTTCCTCTACGATTACCAGTTGGTTTTTCTAATGATTCATAATCAGCGATTAATTCAGCTCTATAACATAATACCGCTAACTTTCCATTTTTACTTGCTTCGTCATATACACCCGTCATAAACGCAATCAACAAATTCTGCATGATGATGACCAATAAAATACTTGCGCCTAAAATAAAAAAAAAGGTTTAACAACATCTTTAAACACGATCATATATCAGACATGAAATATCTACCTATACTGATTACGTAAATTGGCCAGAAATCCCATTCCGTTAATTGATTCCATCTTCCAAGGATCCAAATATAAACTCCCGTAATAGAATAACCCAATGACGCATAATAATCATCTGTAGGTTGATTATCTTCAAAGTATTGTGTAAAAGTCATGTTTTCAGTGCTGTTAGGTTCCAACCTAATGTCTTTAGGATTTTGTAATATTATATTCTAATTATTTTCGCATTATTAAAAGAAGAACACGTGGATTTTTTATAAAAGTTCACATTATATATTAATAAAAGTAAATTAGATAAATTCATGACCATACATACCATATGAAAATAACAAAGATATCTACCCTTAAAGTATCGTGTCAGCAATATCTAGATCAATATATTAAGAATTTATCATCAATAATGATTAAAATTTTAATTCAATAAATATAATACTTACTAATTCAAACCATAAAAGTAAGACCGCAAACGCTTCCGGAAAAATCGTTCTTTTATTTTCATCTGGATCTGCATAATCACTAATATGTAATAGTAACAAATACAAGAATAATTGTTGCAAGTTCAATAATATTATATATGCTAAAATATCTTTTAAATTTTTCGTGCTTAAATTGCAGAAATTCCGTCGCTAAAAGATAATATCCAGTATAAAAAAAATAAGTATAACGAAATTGAAATTGTAGTTTGTCTATTTTCATTTTCGATTATTCCAGTAATCAATGCAAATGTGAGGAAAAAGACTATGAATAATAAAACATGACGTAAGAAATGATTTCTCGCTGCTTTCCATTTAAAATCAATGCATGCTTCCATTGTTGGATTATCATATAATTCATCTAAAAGTCCTTTTTCATTTTTTCTTATAAGTAATAGAAAAGAGCTAAATTTATTTTTGTCATGAACAAAATAACCTCTTGGCCAAAATGTAAGTTTGAAAATTTTTAACCAAGGATAATATGCTCTTTTTATCGCATTCATTGAATAAACGGTAAAATCTGGCAACGGAACTAGCGTACTGCCGTTACATGTGTAACCTCTTCCTCCGTTAACTTTGATCTACTTTTAAGATTCTTCGACTTAAATGTATCCCACAATGTAGACTCATTTTGCTTCAATAAGAGTCGTGGTCTCACATTTAATGAACAAATTTCCGATTTATATCCTTTTTTCAATTTACTTTGATTAATAAATTTTGAATCAACAAGTTCTACTTTGGATCCAAAGTAAGGTTTGTAAAATAACTCTTTTAAATAATATTCTGTGTTTTAATGATGCAAATATTTTTCTTCAGATAAGTATTAATGAAGAACTAACCAACCACATAGTGGGGAAATGTACTTTTACATACCAAAGTTACGATTGTTAAGTAAAGGGAGAGCCTTTGTCAATGTAAACATCCAACCTATCGGAATGGGTAGATAGAAAACCGGTACGGTACGATTCGCCAGGCCAGTATGGTACGATTATGCAGATCAGTAATTTTTGTGAAATTTGACATCGTATCGTACCGTACCGTACTGGTCATATAATAATTATATAACCAATCCAGTACGATGATGGTATAGACTGATTTTATAAAATTCGTACCTTACCGTACTGGCCCTATAATAACTAAGCCCTATTATAGGGCCAGTACGGTATGGTACGATATCAAATTTCGCATTTTTGTATTTTTTCTTTTTTTTTTTTCCTTTATTTATATTTTATTATATTTTTTTTTTAAATTCCCCCCCCCCCCGGACTTTTTATTTTTTTTAATTAATTTTATTCACCTACCGGACTTTTTTATTTTATTTTTATTTCTATTTTTTTATTCCCCTCCCGCCGGACTTTTTATTTTCTTTTTAATCTTTTTTTCTTTTTTTCTTTTTTTGTTTAGTTTCGTTTGTTTCCTTTTTTTTATTCTTTTTTTTTATTTTTTATTTAATTTGTTTATTTTTTTCTTTTTTTTTAGTTTTTTCTTTTCTTATTAATTTTTATTTTTATTTCATTTCTATACTTTCGTTTTCATTTTATTTATTTTGATTTTTTCATTTTTTTTTTTGCAATTCGTTTCTTCATTACTTTTTTTTTTATTTCTTTTTTCTTTTCTTTTTTATTTTAGATTTTTTTATCTTCTTCGTTTTTTCAAAAAAAAATGAAAATAAAAATAAAATAAAATAAAGATTTCCGCGGATATGGCATTTAATTAGTAAAATGTGATATAATGATTTTTTTTTTAATATAGTAAAATCTGTTCATTATATCAAATTCTTTGTATTTATTAAATAAGTAATAAATAAAAATAAATTTCACAAAATTTCATTGGATGTAAAATTACTGATCTGCATAATCGTACCGTACCGGTTTTCCATATACTCACCTGTATCTTTTTCCGCATTATTTGAATAGTATTCGAGTAACATAGCTACGATAGTTTTATCCATACGATTTTCACCTGAAGATTGTTCAATAGCAAGCTTCAAATCACTTTTTTTCTTTTCCATAGGCCATTTGTATTGACTTAGAACATGCAAATAACGACTAATTCTCGTTTTATCTTTATAAGCGAATAATATCTGATGCAACAATGATAAATTCCTTGATCAGATGATATTGGCCATAATGTCATATCGAACTTCAGACAAACTCCATAAATTCGAATTATCCGGTATCCCGTGATTTTTTATAATTAACAATGACTATAATAAATCGTTTATCAGGCAAAAAATCGGTTATCA